CCCCAAAACCCCAAAACCCCAAAACCCCAAAACCCCTCAACAGTTGTTAAAAATAGAATCATCTAATTATATTTAATTTTATGACAGAATTACTCCGCCTCAGTGTATTCATTGTCTCCAACAATGAGATCTAAGGGCCTGTATAATTGAAAAGAACCTTCATCGTGCATTACTATTGAATCACTATCTTCACTTGTGCTCATCATACTCCATTCATCTTCAAAATTCCAGTCAAAATCTACGATTGGGCCGACATGGCCTCAATGGTGGAACATAAGTTCCTCTCCTTGTCTTTTTAGGTCCCATATCATCAAAGAATCTCCTGAAGATGCAAATATATTTTCCTTAAAAGGGGACCATTGAACATAACTCACTTCAGACTTATGCTGGTCAAAGTAATTAATTCACTTCCCGTTTCTAATATCTATCAGACTGACAGAATGATCGCTACTTCCAGCAAGTAGAAGGTTATGATCATGAGGGTTCCAATCCACACAGTTAATATCATCACTATGGATCTCATCTATCTTCATGACTGGAGAGCACCCAGATTTAGTGTCCCAAAGCATGATAGTCTGATCCTGAGAGGATGATCACAGCTGTGTTTCACTCACAGGATGAAATCAGATGTCTTCAACGTTCTCAGTGTGGCCTCTTAATTCAATATCTGCATGGACAGTCTCTGATGATAAATTAATTGCTCTCTCTCATATCTATGATAATTAAATATCTTTACCTTTTAGATAGCTCTGAAGCTTCTTTGGAACTACTCTTGTATTAGTTTCTTCTCAAGACTCTTCGTCCTTAGAATCTTCTAAATTGTTGATACTAAAGACATACCTAAATGTTTCATATAGGTCTGCTGGATCTGCTTATCGCCATGTATGATTGTATTACATCCGAAATATTGTTCAAGGTCCCATAATAAAACGCACTTATCTCTGCCTCCACTAGCCACTAAGGGCTTATTCTTGTGCCAATCTAAGGCATAGCAAGCAATGTCAGTATGCCCCTTTAGGATTAAATCGGGAGTGTTAGCAACTACATTCTCCTTATACTCAGTATTCTCCTGATAGAATAGATCCCATAAATAAACATCTTTTGAGTCTGTATGACTACATACTATTTTACGATTTGCAGGCCAGGGTTTTAAGCAGTTAATCTCATAAGGATGGCTGATTACCTTTGAAACACTTATCCTTCTCTTCGACTCTTCTAGGTCTGAGCTAATCGAGTCAAGTCTTTTTGGAATTTTATATCCTTGCTTGGGTATATCGACTTCTCCTAGAACAATAAGGCTTCATACTCCGTCCCATGTGTTTGTGGTTTTATTATAACTCCCATCAGTACGACTCCCAAAAATCACTTCTTGTCTGATCATGGTCTCATTCTCTGCAATAACATTACCCCACTTTCAACAAGATGCTGACCACTTCAAGGAATGAGGGTAAAAGTAATCATAAGCTATGCCTGCCAGGGGTCTCCAACTTTCAAAATTCTTCTTAATAGTGTCCATTCTCTGATGAGACTTCTTCATACTTTCTAAAAATTCCTGTGTGCTCATTAAATTATTTATTAAATCCAATTAAATTTATTTGAAAAGGGGTTTTGGGGTTTTGGGGTTTTGGGGTTTTGGGG